TACATATTATTATTCATCTCGCCCTCAAATCATAGTTATCTATTAAAATATATATATTAATAATCCAAACTCTTTTCTTTATGATTTGACCTCTATAAATAATTTTCTTGTAACTTGGGTTTAGATGAAAAAGAAAAATCAGCGAATCACAATTTTTTTAAAGAATAGATGATTATAAAAATATGAGGGAGAAGTCGGGTCTTAAATTTATGAAATAAATTATTAATATCTAATAGTAATTAAATTTATGTACTAAATACTTCAACTCATGGTCAATATAAGCTGTTATCTGAGATTTATATAGTTGAAATAATTTAAGTTAAATTAAATGTTCTCTTACAATACAATACAAGTGCGCAAGCTTGCCGTGTTCAAACTTCAAACAAAAAGTCGACACGTCAAAGGATGAAGAAAGTTGGAAATTCAATTATTAAACTTAGGTCCAAAAAAATGCTTTTTTTTTTTTTTGTCTCTGGTAACAGTTTAGTTAATTTAGTTACAAATGGGCATAATTTAATTTTTATGGCTTAAGGTACCTAACAATTTAGTCATATCATAATATTTTTTTTGTTGTCTTTTATAAGTAAAGAGATAAATGGATGGGATCAAATATTCATATAAATTACAAAATTATATGATAAATAAAAAATCTACACTTAATTTTGATGAAATTTTTTACAATAAGAATTAGATGGTGACAAATTTTAAACTATAAAAAAAATCGTTAATCATTAAAGTTCATGACTAAATTTTTTTGTAATTTAGAAAGTATACCAACTAAATCATTACATAAGAAAATGTACAAAAAAAAAATGTTTTTTTAACCGTAAAATTATAATCAGATTTAAGACTTAAATTATGAAAATTAATTTATTTTGAGAAGAATGTAGCTGCACAGGTTATCGTTAAGATAATTACGTCCGTGGCAAAAAAAAAATACATTTTCTGGGGTCAAATTTGGAATTTATCTCTCTCTCTCTCCCCTCTCCAATGGAGGAGAGAGAAATTTGCGTCTGGTGTCATCAGTCATGAGTGGGCAGAGGAGAGTTATATTTATGCGCTACTGCTAAGTGCTAAGGTAGTCACCGCACACCAAAGTTCATTCACGCGGAAAAAAGAATTCTATCATTCCCCATTGCCCAATTTCTCTCTTCTTGATTTGCTCGTTCTTGTTCCTCAAGTAAAAAGCCGTACTCTGTTCATCTGAATCCTTCTCTGCACCGTATTTCTGCCGTTTCAGGTCATGTAACTGAGAATCATTTTCATCATCTTCTCTTCTCTCTGCTTTCTTCCCGCCTTCGGCGTCTTTTTTCTGAATAATGTAAATTGGGGATTGAAGCCCGTTTCTTGCTTTTGCCTTTCGCTGTTTGGTTGATGTTCATTTCCCTGCTGCTTCTGTTCTGAAGCCGAGTGTTTATATTTGAAATTATGGATTCTCGCTAATCTCGCTGTCTTTTCCTGTTCTCCTGGACGGTGGGACTATTTTGTCAATGCCCATTTGCTTTCAGTTGGTCTGAAACGTTCCGAATGCAGCTTGTGAATATGGGTTTTCGTTAATTTTTGAAGTCTTGCTTTTGAAGCGCTGATGCTCTTTTGATTTTGCATTGATTTTAGTCTTCTTTAGGATGTAAATCCCTCCCACATAACCAAGATCCAGTGTTCCTACTCACTTAGTACTTGTTCCTACTCTTCTGGGTGGAATTATTTGACTGATTCCCAATAAAATACTTCTGATAAGAAATACACTTGTCGGGGATTTTAGCTTTTGATTATCAGAGTGACTGTTCGTTTTGATCTGAAATGATGAAGGTTCGTTAGCCCAGATTACCGTCGTTACAATGAAAAATTCCACCCTTGTCTCTATGTTTGATGTAGAGTCTAGAGGAATTAGGCTCACTCCTAATTGATTCATTTTTTGATTTGTTCATTTGTAGCTAGCATTAATATACCCACTATTCTTTACAAACACTCTTAAAGATGTAAAGTTCTGTTAACTTCATTCAACTTTTTAGCGTTGCAGAAGGTAACTAAATGTATTGCTTTCAATTTTCCCACCTTTTGTTCAATATCTATGAGATTCTAGAGTTGTTTGTTTCCCTGTCCATAAGATATCCCAAGTTATTAGTTATGGAATCTTAATGATCATGTTGGCCTCTCGAGTTCTGTTAACTTGATTATGGTTTAGCTTACATGTTACCACTTCAGTTTGTCTCTTAAATGTTACTTCCAGCCTCATACACTTAATATCTCAAAAGAAAAGGGGAAAATTCCGCTCACATACCTTCTTGTTCACGAAATATTCGTTCAACATGGAAGAAACATTTTTTCCATTTCGTGGGATTAAGAATGATATAAGAGGAAGACTTCTATGCTACAGACAGGATTGGACTGGCGGCTTTCGCTCTGGTATCAGGTTTGTTTCATTATGGCAAAAGATAATCTCTGTATAAATTTTCATTTTATTGCCTCACCAAGTTAGAACTATATATTTATGTACAAGATTTGTTTTTGTTAGGATCTTGGCCCCAACAACCTACATATTCTTTGCTTCAGCAATTCCAGTTATATCATTTGGGGAGCAGCTAGAAAGGAATACATGTACGGCTACTTTTTTGGTTGACAATGTGATTTTTATAGTTTATAAACTTGTCGTATACCGTAGTTGCTCAGATATGTTTCTCGCTTTCATGTATGTCGTAGATGGGACTCTGACTGCAGTACAAACTCTAGCATCAACAGCACTTTGTGGCATCATCCACTCAATCTTTGGGGGACAGCCTCTTCTCATCCTTGGGGTCGCTGAACCAACTGTTTTGATGTATACATTTATGTTCGACTTTGCAAAGGACCGAAAGGAACTAGGACAGGAACTATTCTTAGCCTGGACGGGATGGTATCTGTTTATATTACTGATCATATAAATTAACAATGCAAAAGGTAAATGTCTGGTAACAACAAAAAGTTAATCTTGTATTTTTCTTCTGGGTCTATTCTAGGGTATGTGTATGGACAGCCATATTGCTTTTCTTGCTGGCTGTGCTGGGTGCGTGCTCGCTGATCAACAGGTTTACGCGTGTTGCTGGAGAATTGTTTGGTCTGCTGATTGCTATGCTCTTTATGCAGCAGGCGATACGTGTGAGTATGCTTTGTGAGATTTAGTTGGCATGCCTCAGTCTCATTCATGGCTATTCAGTAGAACTGGAAAGTTTAATCTTGCTTGTGATTTAGAGAAGAAATTCCAGCTTCTCAAGGAAGCTACAAAAGTCGTCCTGTAACAGTTTGATTGTCTTGCGTTCTGTTCAGAACAACTGCCAATAGTCCAATGTACTATTTCCTTGTATAGGGTGTTGTGGAGGAATTTGGCATACCTCAGAGGGAAAATCCTAATCAGGTGGCACTTCAACCTCCTTGGCGCTTTGGCAATGGAATGTTCGCTTTAGTGCTGTCCTTCGGGCTTCTACTAACTGCACTTAAAAGCCGCAAGGCTAGATCATGGCGCTATGGGACTGGTACAACCATACAAGCTTTTCTTTTGAATTCTGAAATATAGAAGTGAAAAAATGGATAATACATTTAGATGCAATTATAAGGTTAGTTTTGAATAATCTACTGTGTTTCTTATGATTCTGGTATGAACCTACCTTTTCTTGATTATTTTCCAACATCGTGCAAATATAATTTGATTTAGCTTTCTCCCCTGAAATATGATCTAAAATATAGGCTGCTTACGGGGCATTATCGCGGATTATGGGGTCCCACTTATGGTGCTCGTATGGACTGCATTATCTTATATTCCAGTTAACGATGTCCCACTAGGGATCCCAAGAAGGCTTTTCAGTCCCAATCCATGGTCTCGTGGTGCCTACACAAATTGGACGGTTATAACGGTAGATCATAATCTCCTAATTTCCAAGTTTCTAGTAGTTTGTTCGCTAGAATATGCATAAAAGCAAAGCCATATGCTTTCCCATCTCCAGGTCATGTCTAGGTATTTACACTTTTTTACATATGCAGGAAATGTTGAGAGTGCCTCCATTGTATATAGTTGGAGCATTCATACCAGCAACCATGATAGCAGTTCTCTACTACTTTGATCACAGTGTTGCATCTCAACTTGCCCAACAGAAAGAGTTTAATTTGAAAAAGCCAGCTTCATATCATTATGATCTTCTTCTCCTAGGTTTCCTTGTAAGCTGTCTTTATGGAAATATTGTATTTCCTCTTCTCTACATTTTTTACTGCAAATCTAGTAAGCTCTATATAGGGGTTATGGCTTCAATTTACTTTGCTTTCTGATGTATTAGGAAAGGGTTTTCCTTCTCAATAGAAACTGTTTCTCTTCTCTTCCCAGGTCATACTTTGTGGACTTATAGGCATACCACCTTCCAATGGTGTAATTCCTCAGTCTCCGATGCACACAAAAAGCTTAGCTACCCTTAAACATCAGGTAATACCTACACCCAGTTTTCAATATATCTCAATTTTGTATCCATGGATCTATTCTCTCTGCATGGAGCTCTGGAAGTACAGAACCAATTCCAGCAGTCGTTATAAACCCTTCTCTTGGAATGTATGTGTGCATACTGCATCCCTTTTATCACCAGGATCTCAACTTGAACCGTTTTGTGGGCTTGTAGGTAGTTAGATTGTGTTTGGCAATCAATTTCCATTTTCGAATATTCTTGACTGCTTCTCCTTTTCTCCGTGTTTCATCAACTTGTGCAATGTCTATGATTGCACCATATCGCTCTCTTACAATGTTATGTAGTTGCATGAGTGTATACTTCTTTCCAATGTGAAATTAGAACAAATTGGTGATGTTTTACTTCTTTTGAAATAGCTTTTGCGGAACAAGCTGGTAGCAGCAGCACGACAAAGTTTCCGTAAAAATTCGAACTTGAGTCAATTATACAGGAACATGCAAGAGGCATATAATGAGATGCAGACTCCTTTAATTTACCAAAATCCACCAGCTGTGGTAATTATGGTCATTTGGAATACCCTTTCTGTTTGTTTTTTTTTTTTTCATTTTTAGTTATTTAATCTGACATGTTTTGTCTTCAAACAGGGGCTGAAGGAGTTGAAAGATTCCACAATCCAGCTTGCTTCAAGAACTGGCTACATTGATGCCCCTGTTGATGAAACTATTTTCGATGTTGATAAAGATATTGATGATCTCCTGCCGGTGGAGGTTAAAGAACAGCGTCTCAGCAATTTGCTGCAGGCAATAATGGTTGGTGGTTGTGTTGCTGCCATGCCTCTTTTAAAGAAGATCCCGACTTCAGTCCTTTGGGGCTACTTTGCTTTCATGGCAATCGAGAGCTTGCCCGGAAATCAATTCTGGGAAAGGATTTTACTGCTTTTCACTGCTCCGAACCGAAGATACAAGTTAGTTGACATCCATATAGACACATAGAACGCTTCCAAAAATGGGACGCTTATATTTTGCATAATATTGTTGTAGAACCAAGATTGACTAGATTTCATTTCATTTTCAGGGTGCTGGAGGAATATCATGCAACCTTCCTAGAAACTGTCCCCTTCAAAACAATTGCCACCTTCACCCTGTTTCAGACAGTGTATCTACTGATGTGTTTCGGTTTAACCTGGATTCCGATCGCTGGCGTTCTTTTCCCACTGTTGATCATGCTCCTTGTCCCCGTGCGGCAGTATGTGCTCCCAAGGTTTTTCAAAGGTGCACATCTTCAGGATTTGGATGCTGCAGAATATGAGGAAGCCCCTGCAATCGCTTTTAACCCGTCATTCGAAGTAAGCAGTCATAACTTTCACTTCACTTTAGTAAAATCTGTTGATCAACTTAGTTCAAGCAACGATAAGATGCCATCCACGTCGGTAGTTTAGTTCTTATAACTTCCTTATTTACATCTGATGCAATGTGAATGAGTATGTGAAGCAAAAGCAGAGTCGTTGTGGGAAGATACTAAACTCAGTTTAATATTCGCCCTCCACTTGCGGTACCTTTCAGGATCGTGTGGGAATAACTCCCAACATCGACGATGGTGAAATACTCGACGAGATGATCACAAGAAGCCGTGGTGAGATTCGGCGTACGCAGAGTTCAAAAGTGACAAGCTCAACTCCGAGTTCTGTAGAGGGCACCAAACCCGGCTACTACAGCCCACAGAAACTGTACAGTCCTCGGATCAGTGAGCTGAGAAGAGAGAGAAGTTCTCTATCTCCTGGAAAAGGACTCGACTTGAAGCCAAGTCCTAGCCCAGAACCAGGAACAGGGCCAGGACCATCATTTAGAAAGTAGCCTACTTCTTCATCATCATCAAGCACTTGTAAGTGGTATTTTCTACTGGGTTTTAATATTGTTAATTGTGTTCGAGAGGCCTTTAATCTTGCTTAAGTGCAGCCAAGTGCTGCTTAATATGGGTATTGTCTCTTTCTTCTCTTTTTTTCTGTTTAAATAAACGAAGGAAAAACATACATATATACTGTTGTTTATGTAGTTTTGTCATATAGGATTTATCTGAATGTTTAAAAAGGAGATATGATGTTCTTTGCTTCCATTCTTATCATCTCCATCTTCCCATTTTGATCAAATTTGGAACGAGAATGATTTGAAATGATTTTACCTTTCTCAAAATTCAAATTTAGAAGTATATAATGTAACATCGTGCCTTTCTCCCCCATGAAAATTCGTGGTTCTGCTCCAGTTTTCCAAGCCATTGTTTATTCCAATTTTTCAACATCAGAATCAAGAATGAGGTTCTTGAAATTAGCTACAAAATCAAATAATGTAACTTTGTGCATTGTAATTGTAAGAAAGAATTTGTTTTTGTTTTTTATTTCAATCTTACATGCCAACTCTAGTAATAGAATGGACAATTCATACAAAGCCAAATTGGTTCACGGTCTCCACTCTTTCGTTAATTTAAAAGGCCACTGTTCGCTCCCCAATGCTGCATGTGTACTGTTTTCTATCAACATATATTTTCTACATCGTTTATTTCAAGACTTTTATAGATATCATAATTTAAGAATTAACTAAAAAAAAAAAGTGGTTCTTTAGAATATAGAATTCCAATTACGGGTAGGAGATTTCAATTTCTAATGAAATTTAGTGATATATTAACCATTATGTTGCAAAAAGAAGTTAAAATATTAAGGACCTACTTGGTTGGCAATTCGGACTTGTGTTTTTTGTTCTCGTATTCTGCGATTCGAATAGTAATAGTGAAATTATGAAAACAACATTGGTATGTTTTCAATATTTTCAAATTTTGAATTTAAAATTTTAAAATGCAAAATTATATTAATATATTATTTCATATTACAAACTCATTTCATTTTTTTTTTAATTAAAACATGTGAAATATAATATAATATTATAAATTATATAATATTGTAAATAATAAATAGACAAAATTTATAACAAAAAATATTTATAAATTAATTAATATTATTTTAAATTGAACTAAATATTTAATTTGCAACCACTATTAATTCACAGATATATTAATAAACATACATAGAACAATTTTTTAAATTGAGATTTCAATTTTCAAATCTAACTATCAACCTACTAAACACATTTGAATCACTTGTTTACAAAGGCACCCTAAATAACTTAAAAAAATATTTTATGATTAATATAAATGTTAATAATAATTGTAAATCATTAATGTAATATATATCAACTTATAATCCATCGATTGGAAACTATTGAACAGTTTTTAATTACTTTATAAATTAGCTATCACGGTTCATGTTGCGAATTCGCTTAAAAACTCCAAAGAAATGCATGACACTCTGACAACTTGAACTGGACAGCAGAATAATAAATGCAGGAAAGAATATTCCAAATTAGATCCTCATGTTTTCTTCAAACCATGAACAAACAAAAAGGTACCAAAAAACCATGCACATCAAAGCAACACCAAAATCAAAGAAGCAGACTACCAAAATTGGTCCAACTTCCAACACTGTATCGTTAACCACATCAAAAGGCTTCGATTATAGTTTAAAATTTCGGAAGAAAGAAAAAGTCTCAGTTTGTGCTCATCAATTATGACAACGTATTTGATCGGTCTCCTAAAAGTCTTGTACGTTAAGAGTATAGGAAATCACGTATAAAGACATTAAGCAAATGATTGAGTTTAAATCTGAAAGCTTTTAAAATGTTCGCTACCATTTCATCTCATATTTTGGATACTAAAAACCATGCAAACCGTGTGGTAATGCAAGTAAATTGAGAAGGACACAGGACTGTCCTGAGGGAATGAAGATGGCTATCTATCCACAAAGAATAAAAGTCATCCTGGAGGACAGAAAGAAATAGTACAAAACTGAAAAGAACAAAAACCTTACCTTACCGGTGTTTTCTACATGGATCACAACTACAAACAAATCATTGATGGATTTTTTTCATCTAGCAAACCAACTTACTAAGGCAAAATTTCATGGGGGGGATTTTTAAGCTGTCTTCGGCTTAGCTTTGATGCGCTTCACCCTTGAATACAGGAAAACCCCAGCAAGAGCTATTCCAGTGCCTGCATTAAATCCAAGAACAAGAAATATTTTAATGCATCGAGAAGTGTTTGATACTCATATTCACAGAAGGAAGACTGGAGCAGCCAATATTACCAAGAGAGTTGATAGGAGAAACAGGTGTTTGGAAGAAGATAACAGAGCTCACGATGACCACAACACGCTTTACACAGTTGCCTACTGAGTGGGTAACAGGCGATACTCTTTGCAATATCATGTAAGAAACCTGCAAAGCTCACCCCAATAGATGTCAGTGAAAGTCCTTCTATGCTAAAGAGAGATAAGCAGTAGGCACAGCAGAAACTTTGCAAGAGCGTCAATATCATAATGCATCTTTAGACCAGAGCTTCACCAAAAGTTCTCAGTTCTATGGCTCCAAATTTTCTCGATATCAACACATATTCCTTTTATGCAAATATTGAATAATTTCTCTACAAATGCAGCACATTTGTTCCTCATTTCAAAAGGAGTCATCTATCTTAGATTCTTAGCTAATATTTCAACTATACTTCAAAAGAAAGGAGAGAAAAAAAAAAAAGAAGGAAGAAGCTATATTTCAACTAGAAACAAGATCTAGAGATATGTAAAAGAACTATGGGAAGGAAAGTACATGTTTAGGAGAAATTAAGAATGCAGACAACTCATGACTCATGAGCTTAGAAAATAATAGAAGAACCTGTGAAACTGGAACTCTTACCTGTTGGTATGCATGGAAACAAAGGGCAGCAAGAAGAGACCTTGCGCAAACTTGTTTCACATTCAATCCCTGTGATGACAGAAATTATCATTGAAGAGCAAGATATGAAACTAAAGGAAACTTCTACAGAACTTTGATTCTTGAATTACTCACAGCTGATTGAAGGTATGCAGGAGTAAACTTGACACCTTCCATGAAGATAGCCACAGGAGCCAATAAGAAAAAGGACATGACTGTTATAATTGAAAAGAGCGTGATGTTGTCAATTGAATCCTGTTTCAATACCAAAAACTTGTTACTTTACCACTCCAACGAGCAAAGATATAAATGGAACAAGAAGGTGTTGAGGTGGACGAAATACAATTGCTATGAACAATATTTCCGCCATCCATTCGATATAGAACAGAAGTTCCAAATAAATACAACTGCTAACAGAAGCAACACAGGCAATTGGAAAGATGCATCTGTAGTGTTTACCTCTTTTTTCACCATGACCTTTTTGCTAAGGACATTACGAGATTGATTAGTCAAATTGGATGCCATTGCACTCGAAAATCCAGCCCTTTTATAAGAAATTTTATATATCAGAAATTGCATAAATAAATCATTTTTTCAATCATCTACTTAAAATAATAGACATGAATATAGACGTACAAAAACACCCATCTTACCAGTTGAAGGAGGCCTCGGTGGCAGATGCTAGTACAACACCACCAACAATTGGCAGAAGGGATGCAAGTACCCATGGAGTAGGAATCTTCAAGGACACAAAGAACATCAGAGTTAAGATGTAACCAACAATGGTCAGAAGGGATGCAACAACACCAACATTTTTCTCATAATTTTTGAAGGTTAATGCTTGGACCTCAAGGACAAAAAGTAATAGAACACTTAAATGCTGAAACTCAGGTCTAATATATGACAATTTTCTGATTTTATTTTTGGCCAGGGATACAAGCAGGTGGTACCAAAAAAAATTATCAGTTAAGAAGTGACTGCACATAAATTCATACCTCTCCAAGAAACATTGCTGACAGGACCACTGAAAAAAAGGGCTCCATAGCTTTGATTGTGTGAGTGAATGATACAGCCACTTTCCCAAGACTCATGTTTGTAAAAAGATTTCCCAAGGTGTGAACGAATGCCAGCGGCAGAATAGCAGCAAGCTGTTTAAGTTTAGAGAAGTCAAAACCTCATAACAAAATTCATTATTCAAAACGTACACAAGGCGTAAAACCTGAAAGGGAGAAAAATAACAATTACCTGAGCACCACTAATCTTTGGCTTTTTGTAGAGATTAAGTCCCCACATAAGAAGAACAAGTACAGTGCCAACAGCAAATTGAACTGCGGTGACAGTTACAGGGAATGGATATACCTTGAGGACCTGTGAACAAGCAGTGTCAGATATTATCAGCATTCTCATCTCCCAAAGAAGCTAGCACCAATGTCGATTCATCTTGGTCGATATAAGTTAAAGTTGAAATGAATGAGCAAGTAATAGAGCTACACGAAATATTGAATAAGCTATTTACTTAATCAGACAAAAAGGATCTAATTCTTTAGAGTCTACAAGTTATGATTATTCGCAGAGAAGAAAAAGCTTTCAAGAGCTTAATCTTTACGGGAACAACTCTTTATTAAGGCCTTGACGCAGAAAATTATATTCATACGGATCTACCAGGAGAGTTTGATTTTACATCTTTACGAGAACCATGCATTCTTTACCTCATCGAATGTGAAAATATCGGAAGTGAAGGGGAAAAATTAATGTCAATAACTCATAAGAAAGACTCCTGGATAAATCCTCAGACAGTAATACTGACCAAGAGAAATACGGAATACAATTAAAACAAAAAACATCTTACACCATCCTCGTGCGTATTTTATCGATTATAAAGATAATTTAAGCATGAGATTAACTTTCTTTTTTCCTTTTTTTTTTTCTGATAGGATCCTCCTACGTACATTATCAAGCCTCCGTTTCTCACGGTACAGGCATTTCATGCAAATCAAACAAAAACAACCACGAATTTCAAGAACCGTACATCACAAAATGCACAGACATCATAAATTTCAAATAAAAGAAAACATCCAACCTGCTTGTTGTAGATGTTAAAGTAGATGTTGAAAAGGTACCAGAGGCCAAACAACAATCCAAGCTCCAACGTTTTCGCTAGGCTACCGCCAGCACTGGCACTCTCCCCTGCGCTGTCCGGCACCGCAGTGGCCTGAACCTTGAAAATACTCGCATCGGACTCCGAAGCAAGCAAGGGCGCACCGGTCCATGGCCTCAGTTTTGAGGAAGAAAACGGAGACGACGACAGAGTCCAGGATCGCCGAGGCCAAGAGGAAGACAGTCCAACATTATTCAGGTCTCCGAGATCTCTGGAATTGCCGGAAGACGAAGAAGATAGCCGAATTGAGTTAAATCCAGAGGTGAAGGTCGAGCTCCGAGGCCTTCGAGGCTTGAGAAGAGGGAGAGAAGGCGATAAGGTAACAGCAGAACTCTGCATTTCGAAGGCCTGAGCTCGAGATCTGAGATCGGAGAAGAGAATGAAGAGCCTCGGAGCGTCCGCCGAGGAGCAAGGTTGGTGAAGCAGTAGTTGGTGGCGCAATGCAATAGAGAGACTGAGAGAGATGCTTAAAATTGGGGAATTCAATTAACTAGTCAAAAATGGACGCCCAACCCAACGACGGTGACGGATATTCTAAAGCATTTTTTTCGCCATTAAAAAAAATATTTTGTTTCATTTCTGATACCTCCTATAGGTGGAAAATTAAATAATAATAAT